TTTGAGAGTGTGTGCGTGAACCCCTGCTAATCCCCTGAACTCATTAGCCTAATTGGACGGTCTGCAGAGAGCTCCACATTGATCTTTGCCTGATATCATTCTCCTCCCTGTGAGTGCTCACTCTTTTCTCTTTCCGTCTCTCTCTGTCCACCCTCTTCCTGTCACTTCTCTTTCAAACATCCTCCTTCTCTTTCTTTATCCTTTGTATCCTCTCTGAGCACAATTAACTGGCACCATAGACACACTGGCTCTATCTGGACAGCTAACTAATTGGTGGCACTAAAAGCCAAATATGTTGGGTTGAAAGAAGCTAATGTAATGACAGGCAACAGCTGGATGAAGTACGTTAATGGAAGCAATGTTGTTTTGAATTTGAAAAGCCTCAGTGAATGGTATATTATGACAAATCCACAAAAGCTGAAAAGTATCTTTAAGAAAAGCAGTTTTATCTCAACACACAACACAAATGTATGAGTTGCTTCCAATGATATGTCTGCCACAGCCTCCCAGGAAAGCAGAGCATATTGCTGACTGCTAATGTGATACAGAGGTCATTAGCTGATGATTGAGAAGATTTTTTTCCAGCAGTGTTAATGTTGTTAATAAAAAGTGACGGAAAATATTTATTGACAGAAAAAGTACATTTTTCCATCAATGCATTAAAACTGAACAACAATGTGAAAGATGGACAAACAGACATGTCTTCACATCAACAGCCTGCATGTATCTGTGGTAACACTCACTTCATCTCCTGGTTATTCAAAGTGTCCTTGGCTGCTCGAAATATCTCAATTCAGTTAACCTGTTGCTGTGCTTTTAGTAACACCTTGCTGAATCTGAATATCTGTCAGTATTGTTATGTGATGTTACTTGTTCTTGGACGATTTATGGACTAAATTAATCTACAATCCACTGAGGATTAGGCAAGACATGGCAACAAAACATTTGAAACAGGCATGATACATATATATATATATATATATATATATATATATATATATAAATCTGAGCTTGTGTTATCATCAAGTTCTGTGGGGATAAACCTAGTATAGTTTTTCTGCTTTCAGGAGATGTTCTATAATTCATGTCAGCAGTCCATCTAAATCCTCCTCTTGCAGTGAACAATTCAGGCAGCTGCAGTAGTGCTAGGTTAGCAGGAATGAAAGGGGGGGCAGGATCAGTCCAAACAGCTGATGTAAGTCATAAACACAGATAAACAGAGCCCAAGCAGTTTTGAAGAACAGTGAAATGCAGCGGCTTAAATTTTCTCCAAATTTTTATGTAAAGGGTTATTTTAAACTGATACCAAAAAATTTAAATCTTTCATTTACCCTTTGCACTCCGAAATGTGTTTTGGTGCATCCAGGTGAAAAAAGTGAAGCAGTCTGAAAACTGAAATAAGATGATGATGTCTGTGGTATCAAACAGTGAAGTCATATATCCAAAATACTGTCTACTAATAAAAAAAAAATATATTGACTTCTCAAACTATCAAACTGTTATACTCATTTAATGTCACCAAATATTAAAAAAAGTGTTCCCCTGATATTTTTAGAAGATATAGTAGAGTTTATTCTCTTCATTAAGTCCAATAGACCCAAAGCTGTTTTTGTCTACTGTTACTTTTTAATTGAGAATCATTTATTTTCTAGCCCTGTTTATCATAAAAAAACATATTATAGATGACTCCACACTCTGCCATCTGTTAGTCTGATGGATTAAAAGCAGTGAGACAACTTTCAGCAAATGGAAGTCACCTGTTCCTAGCTAAGTAGATGGCATCCTCTCCTGAGAAAAAATAATTTTGTAAATGGTGTTTATAAACTCACTGTTGCCACGGAGAGCCAGAAGCTACTCTGAACACCGTGCTAGTGAGCAGGGACCGCTCTGCGTCCCAGAGAGTTTCCACAGTGGGAGAGGGAGAGAGTATATAAAGAGGTTGTTAATAAATAACTTCAACTATACATCTCCACCACCACACCTGTCTCTGCCTCTTCCTCCCTCCCTGTCTCAGCAGGAGTTAGATGATAATGAGGCGTGGTGTTGTCAGAAACTCAGTCCATGCTCATCCATCCAAGCTGCTTAGTAAGGGCCCTGGTACACCACTGTCTGGTATGTGTACACACATACACACGCAAGGTCATGAACAGACAGATGTCAGGGTGCGCACGTGCACACAGGGGCAAACACACACACACACACACACACACACACACACACACACACACACACACACACACACATAACACTAAGAGTTAGGACACTGCAAAATCTTTTTTTGCTGTTGACTTTTACTTGAATGAAGAAATGCATTACATGCCTGATACAATATGAGCTGTATGCATGTGTGGGTAGTGATATCTTCCATCACCACCCCAAATTAAAGATAGCTCTACTTACACCTCTTTTCATCCTACAAACCCACTGATCTCCTTTTTTAAACCATTCATCTCTCATGTCTCTCTATTCTGTGCCTCCTCAGTCCCTGTCTCTATTTCTCAGCATATTATAATCTCTCCTTTCCTCTCTGCTCTCTCCTCCTTTCAGGGGGGCGAAGGGTAAGTGAAGATCGTTGGGGCCCGGTGGAGAGGCCTGGACATTGTGTGTGTTGTGGAGTGTGTGTGTTTGCATTCGCCCCATCATTGCTCATCTCTGGCAGCCTCTGTGGCAGTTCCCCAAGCTACAAGCTACAGAATAAATACACTTTAAATCACCACACACAAACACGCACACGCGCACACATGCAGCCCGCTCCCTGGCAGCACTTTGCTGCTGTTAAATGAGGGGTCTGGGGAGTTGTGCCGGCAAAGCCTTTGGCTACTCTCACTCTCCTCCTCTCTATCTGTGCACTGAACACACTCGAACACACACTGGGAAAAATAAGTCGGAATTATGATGGGCAGACTGTAGGAGGATATTATAATGTTAAATAGATGGGACTCCAGCTCTCATGAGGCTTTTATGTTCCTGGTTTGGTGATGTTCAATTACATGGTGTTAGCAACAGTATCCACCACTGTGCTTATTTATATCTCTTAAAAAAGCCTGCAAGAGATATTGATATATTATTTAATTATATCAATATTCATAATTGTCCACTATCACTGACATACCAGAGCTTAAGACCAGGGCAAACAGTAGGCTTCACAAAAGCAATTGAAATGATGCATTGGTAACGGTAGATACTGAAGTTTGAAACACAGACAAACATAACCTCCTTGGTCACTTTAGAGTCTCCAATTAACCTAACCCCAGTCTGTATGTCTTGGACTGGTGGAGGAAGCTGGAGTACCCGCAGAAAACCCACCAGACATGGGGAGAACATGCAATCTCCACACAGAAAGACCGTGGCTCGCTGTGAGGCTCTAGTGCTAACCACTGCACTACAGTGGTAAATGGTCTGTATTAATATAGCACATTTCTAGTCTTGATGACCACTCAAAGCTCTTTACAGTACAGTTTCTTGCGGACGGCTTTTGATTAAAGGAAAACCAATTTTTTGGGTTATTTTTTGAAATTATTTTACCTCAGACTGAAAAAGCAGAAGAAAATCACTGGTTCCTTTTCAGCCTCTGCCCGTTGTATGTTTTTAAACCGATCACCGCCTCCACATTCTGTGGGGGTCTTTATCACTCCATCTTCTCTGCAGTGGGTGTGGGTGCAGGTGGTGATAGCCCTCCCCTCCCTCTCCACTGTGTCGCTTTCTCTCTGTGCCCATTCAACTAAATCATGCATCAAGACAACTGAATACAGTACTGTTGATATTTCATCCACTTTGGAAAAAGAGCACCTCGCTGAAAACTGCAGTCATTACAGGACAGCTTTTATTACCAGGAGCTTGAAGCTGTCTAATTGGTGAGATAAAAATGATGTTAAACTGTGATCTACCTACTCGTTTTTTAAATTTGAATGATTCTAACAGTGCCAACAGATAAAAAAGAACGGAATCTGTTAAAGTGGGGTTAGGCTGTAGACAGCAATTCCCACACACACACACACACACACACACACACACAGACTATATATATCCCTGACCCCAGGCTGTCAGCGCATCTTGTCCTCATCCGGCTCTCTGTCCTTCCCACAATGTAACATCAACTAGGTTAACTGTAGCTAATACAACACAGCACTGCCGTCCTCAATGTCTCCATACATCCCTCTACCTATATGTCTCCTTCCTTCCTCATTAGTTTGAAGCAGTCTGCGGTGGTGCAGGGGTTATGATGTCATCTTCTGGACACTCATTGATCCTACAACTCACAATATGACTAAAAAACTAGTCATAATTTATGTGAAAAAAAAAATTACATATTTTCGCAGAGGTTTGTAAAATCCTCTTTCCTTCTTTGATCTTCAGTGGCCTTATCAAAGCAAGTTGAACTTGCACTTGTTGTGCCACACAACTGCTGCTCTGAATACAATACAACTTTATTTCTCTAGCCACCATAGTATGTCCATGCTTCATGTTTGATTGATGCTACTGGAAAACCTGTACTTATCTTTTAAAAATAAATCCTGACTAGCAATGATATTTAGATTTATCACATTATCACAGCATGACACAAGGCCTGAAAGTGTAGAGAGAATAAGTGTGAACTAAAAACAGGCTCTGCAGTGGTACCATGGAACTTATCAATCTGATTTATTTTCCTTTCAGTTACACAACTCTTTGGAAAGTTCTTCTTTTTGTCTTTTCTTTAGCTGCCCTTTCTGCCTCAGCCTTTGTCTTTGAGGCATAAAGGCTATTTTCACATTAATAAAAAAAGAAAAGCTAGAAAATAAAATCAATATGTCTCTTCTTCACATTCTCTCCCTTCTGATAAGCCTGTGGTTTTTAGCCTGACTGAGGACAGCTGTCATTGTTAGGAGGTTAAGTTATTAATACGTAAATGACGTGGATGTAGAAAAGCTCAGGCAGTGACATTTTCAGAGAAGCAGACATCTCTCTGTGATCTCCGCAGGCTATGACGGAGAGACATTAGAAGTAAAGAAAGCACTCACCTGAGGCAGTTTTCAGGTAACCTTTGGAGTCCATCGTGGTGTACATGACATAGGGACCTGGCTGGTTAACACCAAAGGGCTGTAAAACACACATGCAAACACAAATGAAAATAACTGACAAATGTTGACATTTTGGAAATGTCTTTTCACATTAGCTGCCTGTCAGTGAGGACGAGAGAGGACAGGGACAAAAAATAAACAACGAGGGGTGACGTAGAGAAACAGGGGAAGACATGAGCAGGAGTGGGCACATAGACAGATGGCGACCCTGAGCACCTTTTTTATACAGATTTACTTTCACTAGGTGACACAACCAATGTCTGACTTAACTGCCTAAAATTTGACTGAGTGTAAACAAGTGAGACGGCAGTGTGTTTGTGCGCCTGTGTGGGCGGACACAGAAAAGTTTTATCATCTCTTCATTATGAAAGGATGACAGTTAATGAAGAGATCCGCCGGGCCAGCCTTCACATTACATGAGCTAATCATGAGACTGTTAAAGCATGCAAACATGCACGGTGACAGAGACCTGGCCCTGTAAGCTGTGACACTCGGCAGTCGGGTGAGAGAGGATTAGAAATGAGGTCAAAAAAAGAAACAGAGAGAGGGAGAAAGAGAAAGAGAAAGAGAAAGAGAGAGAGAGAGAGAGAGAGAGAGAGAGAGAGAGAGAGAGAGAGAGAGAAAAAGCCACAGAGCAGACTGGTGGGCTGAAAGGAAGACAGCGGAGGAGAGGTGTGACTAAGAAGAAGAGGAGTGGGAGGGCGAAATGAAAAGATAGACAGGGTTGATGGATGGTGAGAGGAGAGGAGTAGAAACAGCCGCGAGCTCCACTCGTCGACTGCATTCATCATAGCTTTCAGTTAGACAACAAGCGGGTGGAAGAGAAGACAGAAAACCAAAACAACTCTAGTACCAGCAGCCTCTTGTTGGTGTCAAAGCTTATATGTTTTGCAAAGGACTTTCCACTGGTGAGAGGTTATGGAAGGAGTTGATGCTATTGCGGTGTTTCCACCGTCCACCTACACATGAGCATCCCACATTAGCTCTTTAAGATAAAAAAAGGTGCTGAAAGCAATTGCCTAACTAAATAATGGCTATTTTAAACCCTGAAAGAGTTTTTCAAAACACTGAAACATTTATCAACATTTTACCTCATTCAGACTGAGACAGTGACTTAGGTCAAGCCTGCGTCACATGTCTATTAGACCGTTTACATGGCCACCAATATTCTGACTATTTATATTTTTCTGCATTATTTTGACTATGGTGTTTACATTAGATTAGAATAGAATATGAATATGAATATGAATAGAATATGAACAGAAAATGAATAGAATATTCCATTAACACTACGTCAGATGTTGTCATTATCAAGCAGTTATATATCACAAAATGCTGTGAAAACTTCAAGAGGACGTTATAATGTGATAAAGACCTAAAGTCAGAATATATCACAAGTCTTATTCCATTATTGCTTAATCTGAGACCAACTTCATTCAAGTTAGGATAATCAGAAAATGCTTTTTAAATGGCAATTTTTTTTTTAAGACTATTGGCTTAATCAGGTTAATAATAATCCTCAAGAGCAAAACTAAATAGAAATAACAATAATGTGGCATTTATCATAATAATCATAGTTATTTACTGATATTAACACATTTATCTTGACATAGGTTCTGGCCAGATCACCCAGCCCTGCTATTTCACCCCACAATACAATTTTTGTCATTAAACAAGTGGAACAAACCAAAAGGCAGACAGAGACAGATTTCTTACCTTCACATCTTCTGGGCAGCGATTGGAGCAGAGGCCGCTGAGCACTGAAAAAGACGGAGGTGGCAGAGTTAGACATGTTGCTCAGCATGTGTTACATGACTGGCATGATACCACTCGGCTGTGGAATGATCTGTGAGTCTGCTCTTTCTGTGCCCTAAGGGCCACTGTATCAACAAATATCAAACATCAAGCAGTCAAACTCACACAGAGAAATAAAGTTTCTTAACACAATTACCTCAATTCCACTGGGCTGAACAGCCACAGCGAAAAAACCCCAAACCAAAACAATTCATATTAACTGTGCTTAAGGATCACTAAAACAATTCACACACTTTAATCATCTTTGGTGTGTTGTTAGGTGGATGCTGAAAAGGCAGACAATCAAAGAATAGAGGGAGTGAGGGCTATAAACAAATAGCTAGTAATGAGAGACATAGAAAATAAATGTGCAAACTATTAACAGGGCATGTGCGTGTGCGCACGTGCACACAAAGAGAGCATTTCACTTATTTGTCTGTACAAGCAAAGCAAGGACAAAGTCCGCTGAATTGCTAATCAGTTATTAGAGAAGTGACTTTATTAGCATACTAATAGGATCCTGGGTCTCGGTTGCCTTGATTTGCCTGATGGAGTCACGCTGAAGCCCAATACTGTGTTAATAAGGTCTGAACCCAGTGCTGCAGTAAACAGCAGCCAAACACATTGCACCCATTCAAAAGGAACATCACAGTAGGCCTGGTTCATTTGCATTGACAGTGGGCGGGTGGATACTAAGTGCTCGATTGTTCATCACAGACAAACATAATGGTCAGAATTGTAACTACTCTAGAATTGTAACTACTCTATGAAGACTTAAAAATCTTTTTTTTAAATGGGTTGTTGTACACATAGATGAATGGCAGAAGTCACTGGATGGTCAAAACTATATGATCTCTGTTCTTCTTGACAATTCCCTAATTGTTGTTGTGCACATTTCACTCATCACAAAGGTTCCTCTATCCATTCTTCCACAATGTTTTAAGATATGTATAGAACTGTGCAGCATCATTAAGCATTAACAAACTATTCATAAAGGCCTAAATAAAGGGGACAAGACTATGTTCTATTCTTCTGCAGCTGCTGTCTCACCAAACAAATGTGTCAGTTCACACCATCTCTTACACACTAGTGTAGACACCCAGCCCATTCTAATTTTATCTTTTCCCCCACTTGCTCACCTTGTGATTTGAAAGGAGCCATTCAAATCACACAAACCTTCAAAGTTCCCCATGTCGTGCACTTTTGAATGTACAACAACCAGTCAAGGCCTCCAGTGTCACTATGAAGTGTCAAAATTCACTCTGGGAAACTAAAGCTTGGTTTACCAAAGGAAATCTATAAAACTAAGTGAATGGAGGATGAATTAAAAAGACGTCTGTCTGTCTGTCTGTCTGTATGCATACATGTGTAGAACACTTGGAAATCATTTTTTTGGATTTATAAAGGCAAAGTCTGCCTGGCCATTGGCTGGGTGACCACTTTGGTCCAGATAAAAATCTCTCAACAGCCACTGAATGGATTGCTTAAAACTTTATAAGAATAACTTGAGTTTTCCTTTTGTGATGCGTACACCCATGTAATCAGGTTAGCCACAGTGTGAGACACACATCTCAGGTGCATCTCCTGCGAATGAGCCACGCAGCTCTTCTAGAGAGTCAGGGTCTCTGATGTCTTCTCTGCGCACCACATGTGGTTCACAGCAAAACAGACAGTGAATATTATGTTTCACTTCAGTTTTAATGTCTGTTGAATATGTCAAAAACACATATTTTCAACACTTCCTGTATCCGTTTCAAAGTAAAAACACTCAAGAATTTCTGTTGACTGAATCCAATCATCTATTTAAAAATGTCTTTTATTATCGCAGGACCGGTAAATGGACGTCTTCATACTGCAATGTCCTGGTATTTAGTTGAGTAGTCATACCACAAACCTTACGTAGAAGCTCCGCTGCAGTCACGCAGCAGACAAACTGCTTGTGTGAACAACAAATGTGAGATGCAGCAGATCACTGACACAGCTGTCACGCATGCCAGAAGCACCCAGCTGGCCCAGGCATAACATGGTCACCATAGATAAAATCATATTTGCCAAAAATTAATATCAATCACAACTCAAGACGTTAAGTATATCCACAGTATCACCATGAAGCAGGTTTTACATGTGGCTCAGTAGATGTTTCATTGACACATTATTGTCCTGTAACTGTAATTGGACTAATGTCAAAACAAGGTGTGAAGTAGTAAAAAATATTCTTTATATAAGTGCAGTAGTGAACGAGGGTTGATGACTGCATTGCACCATTTTCTTCTGATCCCTGTATGTGGTAACCCTTCCATCATTTTGTGTGAATAAACAAGAGGATTTCTTTTCCCCAAGCTTTGATTTAAGAAGAAATGGCGTACGTGGGGCAAAAGCAAATTTGCTTCTTTGATGTTCACAAGCTTATTAAGTATATGCCTGAAATAGAATTCAGATGGAGCTCCCATCAAAGACAAACATGTGTACATTGACCCACACTGACCACACTGCATATCAGTCACTGCTTGTTTTGTCATTTAACATGGCTTTTCAAAGCATATTCTGTAATCACATACTATGGGTACTCTAAGAAACAGCCAGGAATTGTTTGCAGTACAGCATGTTTCCAAGTCAACGGCCTGAGAAGAGGCCTGCAGTGACATCAGACCATTCATGTCATTGTGTACTGACTCAGAGAAGTATGTGAGAGAGAAATCTGGAACCTGTAAGGCTGTAAAGCTGAAGGCGGTTTCTGGCTCTCCAAGTACCCCATAGAAGTTGAATGAAGTCATAAGAAACAAAAAAAAACCCATTAGGTGATTTAGCTCTGAAGAATCAAAGCCTTTAACAGAACCAAAGGAGGTCTGACGTATTCACAGCAGAGTGGTCAGAGACTGCCATGTCTGGAACCACATCATCACATCACAGGCCTTTGGGCCAAAGTCGTCTAGGAAGGACACCGCTGATCAATAAATCATAGGGGTCGGATTATTCATTGTCTGTTTGAGGTCAGGCTATACGCACCAGTATCAACGGCACTGTAAAGCAATAACACACAGGGATTAGACTGCCATTTGTCTGAAGTCAGTCTCATTTAGGATTATCTGGAAAGACAACACAGCACAAGACAAAGACAGGAGCAGGACTCCGAGTCACAGCGTCACTGCAAATCCCCCTGATCTCCTCTGCTACAAGTTTACTTTATTTTTTTTCACAATTAATTTTGCAGCACAGCTGATGTTTTCACACATTACAAATCAACTGTTTTCACTTCAGCAGTTTCCTGTCTACATGCGTTTGTGTGGCCATTGCAGGTCAATTGAGAAAGCTGAAATGTACGAAAAAAGTAGACTTCCTACAGGAGTCAGTGAATTTGTGCGGGCTGCAGCACAAACTGTGAACTCGTGTCACCATCAGTGTTGAAGAAAGAGATGTCGGTTTATGAAAGGACTGACGGGAACAAACTATGGCACGCAGCTTGAACATGCACACACGCAAGAACACACAAACACACACGTGCATGCAGCTACCCTTATTAGGACTTTCATTCATTGTGGAAAGCTTAAAGGGATAGTTCACAGAAAAAATTTTAACTCACTCATTATATACTCACCACTATGCTGATGGAGGGGTGGGTGAAGTGTTTGAGTCCACAAAACTCTTCAGGAGTCTCAGGGGTAAACAGTGTTGATTCAATACAATTGAATTAAACAAAACAGGACCCCTTCTTCAAATGTAAAAAAACATAAAATGCTGACATACTGCTCGTGTGGTGCCAACCAAGTGTCCTGAAATTCATATTTGACTCGAAACAACATCATTTACACCATGTTGTGAGCCTGAATGTCCTCTGATATCCTCCTTGGGGGCACATTCACATTCTCATGGACAACAGAAAACTGCACACACTCTCGCCCAAGGGCACGTGCGGGGTGCGCATTCGCATCGCTATGTCCGCTAGCATCGCTACGTCCACTAGCATCGCTACGTCCACTAGCATCGCTACGTCCACTAGCATCGCTACTTCTAGTGGACCTTTAGGATTAAAACATGGTATAAATGACGCTGTTTCGAGTCGAATATGAATGTCAGGACTTTCTGTTCTATTATTACATCTGAAGAAGGGGTCACTTGGGCTGCAACACTGTTAACTGCTGAGGCTCCAAAAGTGTTTTGTGGACTCAAACACTTTACCCACCCCTGCATTGGTATACTGGTGTTTAAATAATGAGTCTTATCCCTTACCTTAAGCAAGACCAAATAATGCCTACCTATTATGACCTATCAATAGGTGTGTTTATTGTTTGGTTGAGGTGTAGCATTAGGTGGAGTGCATTGTGGTTCATGGAACCACTGGTGGAGGATGTTGGGAAGTTTTGCTGAGTCTGCCTGCACATAGTTCCAATCCAATTGAACTGCATACACCACAGGGACTGTATTAAATGTTACCAGGTGAAAGGGAAGGAGCTGTCGAATGAGAATAGGCCTCAAATCGTGAGCCGGATAAAGTTTAGTTCCTCTTATATTACACTAGCCCAAACCTTAAACAGGACATCAGAGATAATGTGACTGAGCTTAGGTCTCCATGAGGTCTTCTTGTCCTGAAAAGGTCAGTGTTTAAGCTGAAAAAGATTCTAAAGAGGTAACAAAAATAAATTTTTGGGAAACAAGTGACAAGTTTTTTTTCCTATTACTGTAAACACAGTTGAGAGGAATTGATTTGCATGACAATCTCTGTATTTGTGCATTTCTGGTGTAGATGTCAATGAGCTAAATCCCACATAAATTAAATGTGAAACATTTGTAAATGTGAAACATTTGTAAATGTAATTGTTAGCGGCAGTGCACACTTGCTACATTAAGATATTGATTACATGAATTCACTGATGCACAAAAAGAAAGAGAGGAGGGGTATAGACATAAACTGCATGAACACAGGAGTCCTTCACAACTCATTGGGCACGCTATTGCTCCAGGAAGTAGA